CACACACATACAGTATATATTTTGAAAATATTTACATGTATATATTTATATTCATATAATTTATATTTATTATAAATATATTTAATATACAAACATAACATATTTTTCTGATATACATGCATGTGTGTATTTATATATAAATAAAACATATACACAGTACACACACATATTATGTAAACAAAAACTTTTTTTTTGATGCGATTAATTGCGATTAATCGTTTGACAGCACTACTACATATATATATATAGAAAGTTCAAAATAACAGCATTTATTTTAAATAGAAATCATCTGAAACATCACTTTTGTACAATTTAATGCATCCTTGCTGAGGATAAATTTTATTTTAAGACTAGACAAGACTGAAAATTCAGCTGTCATCACAGGAATAAATTACATTTTTAAATATACTGAAATAAAAAAAAAATTGTTTTAATATATACGTATATATATATTCTTAATTTGTAACTGAACTGAACAAGACTGAAAGCAGCAGTATATTTAGGAGATGTGACTCTGTGGGGATTTGATTGGCAAGGAGGGCTTTATATTTAATATAGTTTGGATGTGCTTGATTGAGGTGAAGCCAAAATGTTACAGCTTTGCACTCTGTGTAATTAAGCGGATTGAGCTTTTGAATCTTCTTAGTTCTGGTCTGATCCTCCGAGATCACTGCAAGACTGACACCTGAACCCATGGTGTTGATGCAGCAGCCACATCTCCCTCTGTACTGCAGAGACGCCCGACTCAAGCTAGATTTATCAAGTGATAATTTCCGCGTTCTAAATCTGTAACTACATCAATAGGGGCTGTAAGTGAATTTCACTAGAGAGTAAAGGCAGTAAATTTCACTCACTGAGTTAGTGCCCAGGATCTGTAAATTGGGTTTGTCTGCCTCCAGCAGCTTGCGCACCATAGTAAGGAAACTTTCCACAAAAAGGTTTATACTCTGACAGTGACAGGCCATCAGCAGCTGGTCCAATGCCTCCATCGCAATACAAACATACCTGTGAGACACACACAAACATGACACTGCCAGGGATGATCACAGATTATTATGTCAAGTATAAATCACAGAGCCAGACAGAAACAATCACTGCATTTTCTTCCAGTTTTTGTTTATACCCATATCTATGCCGGGCAACGTCTCTGGATAGTCTCTCTGACAGGTAGGCACCGATACGGTCTAGTTTCTCTGGAGCAGACAAGGCGTAAAAAGTAAGCTTCTCCATGTTAGCTTTCACCAAACCGTCCTTTACACAAAAAGACAAGACAGGAAGATAGAAAGAGAGCAAGAAAACATTGAAAAGAGGCCTATTAGAGAAAGACATAAGAAGAAAAATGAACCATAAAAACATTTTAAACTTTTCTCTACCCAAAAAGAATCTTCCATAGATGATTGATCTTCTATTCTGAGTCTAATGCAGATCCTAATACAGATTCTTAAGCTTGTCTCATTATTCAGAAGACAGACAGATTCAAACAATTTCCATTTTTGTGCTTTAACCTCACATGGTGCAATATGTGACGAGGGGTTCTTTATACAATTAGGCTTTTATTTGTAACCTGTTAAATTACTTAAAATATAATTTGCATTAAATTATCAGTGCATTTTTCATTTTACTCTTTTAATTTATTTTAGAGTATTATCATATATAACACCTATCTTTATTTTTTTATTTTTCTTCTTCCCAGTATTACAATATTTGATAAACATTTTAATATTAGATAACATTTTTTAGTGCAATTTAAACTTTTTCTAATAAATATCATTCCAAAACCGTAAAAAGGAAATAGAAAAAAATAGTGTAATTTAAAAAATAGTGTATAAAAAATAACTACACTGTAATATATAAGTTAAAGTAAATAAAGATTTTAAGTACATTTTACAAGATTATAATTTCAGTGTCTTTATTTAAAAATTGCTTCTGTGTAATTAAGGATTTAAATTTATTAGCAATTTTTTTTTTCAGATTACTAAGCAAACTAAAAATGGAAAATATGTACGTTGTAAGAAATTAACCAAAAAACCCCACAAAACCACACTTTATTTCTTAATTTTAAAATACCTTTTGTAAATTCTTTTTATTTTCTCTCCTATTTTCCGAACCCCAGCATGAAAATCCCTGAAACAGACAACTTGTCTGTTAAATCAGGCAATCAGGTGAGCATGCAGCAGATCTGCGACGCCACAGTGGCTCTAAAACTAATGAATTTCACCATTGAAAGCCTATGTCTACATCACTGCATTGATCACTTATGGCTGATAACCACTAGAAACCTAGTGAAGCATCCCTTTCTCTGGCTCAGCTTTTATTTCATCTGACCTCACCTCGGGGTCCTCAGGAAAGATGTTATCCACCAGCCTCTTATAACGGGGTCTCAGGGCCCCACAGCATCCACAAACACCTGAAACAATGGGAGAAAGTCAATTAGAGTGGCAGTAATATAAAAGAAGACCCTAACACAATAACTGAGCACACAAGGAGAGAAATAATACATGTGAAGTAAAAAAGGAAGTTTGGAAGACTATCTCTCCAGACTCCTTTGTTTACCTCATCTCCGGGATGTAGGGCAGTATTGATTAAGAGTCTTTGTAATTATACTCAACGTGAGGTTTATTTATTGCATCGACACATTAAATGAATTAGACCTGTGTTCTGTAATCTAGTAAGTGAGGCCAGTCGATTCAGGGGAAAGGCATTAATCTGTATTTAGGAAACGTCTGCAGCTTGGTGTGCCAGTTAAATGGCTTTGAAAAGAATCTGTTGAAAGCATTTAGAATTGTTTTGGTTTTAAACCAGCACTTGAAAGCCCATTAAAGGCTTATACAGATATATAAAGGGACACATTGTAAAAAAGGTAAAAAGGATAATTTATCAATTGTCAATAATTTGATGCAAATGATTTCAGGAGAATAATAATATTTTCATTTTCATTTTAAAATAAGATTGAATATGTTAACATTAGCTACTGCGTTAGGTAATATGAACTATCAATGAACAACAGTTTTTTTTCAGCATTTATTAATATAGTTTAATCAGTGTTATTTTATTATTATTTTTTATACTATTATAATATTTATTAATATTTTGAATTAGCTTTTATTTTTATATTTTCAGTTTACATTTAAATTTTAATTGAAATATTAGTAATTTTGTTATGTGTTTTTGCCCTTTTTATTTATTATTATTTCTATTTAGTTGATTTCAGGAGAATAACAAAAATATTGAAATTTTAAAATAAGATTGAATATGTAACATTAGTTACTGTTTTATGTAATATGAACTATCAATGAACAACAGGTTTTTCAGCATTTATTAATATAGTTTCATCAGTGGTATTTTATTATTATTTATATACTATTATAGTATTTATTAATATTTTGAATTAGCTTTTATTTTTACATTTTCAGTTAACATTTAAATTCAACTTGAAGTTTTAGTCATTTTATTGTCATTTTTATGTATTATTATTTCTATTTAGTTTTAATTTATTTTTATTTTTATTAATTTTAGGACTTACACATATTTATTTCATTTAATTGCCAAGGCAACATTTTTATATATTATATATAATTATATGAATATGTAATATATGTTCTTTTAAAAATGAATTTGTCATACTGCAGGGCTATTTAAGCAACCTGCAGGAAGGTAAAATGTGATTAAAATTGTTGAAACTGACCAGTCACTGAATCTAAAATACACACTTTTCCTTATACATTCATAACTTAAAATACTGATGCTGAATAAAAACAGTTCATATAAATGTTGCTTGTCAACTACCCAATTAAAACTCCACAAACATGGTTTTTCAGACACACACAAACCCACTTCTGGGTGGATGAGTCAGAAGCAGCACCTTGGCAGGACCCCTGGGAAGGACAAGGCTGTTTACACCACTACCATAGTGAAAGAGCTTCGTCATGGAGGAAAGTAAACAAATCAGAGCAGGTGGAGCGATCAGACAGCAGCGCTCAACCACCCCCACAAAACTGACAAAGGCAACAAATATTAAGGATCATATCATACACGATATGACCAATACGAGCAAAATAGTGTGTATAGAAGGATATGATAGAGCAGACAGATATTAAACTACCTACAGTATATCTATCAGTTAGAGCATCAGTTTACAAAACTCACTCAACTTTGTTTTTCAAATGCAACACAAGGTCAGCGTAGGTTTATTGACTCAAGCCTGCTGTCCGACTAGCTATTGTCAAGCTGCCGTTTACCGAGATCGTGATTGGCAATTCCGCTGTGATTGGATGGACGGGAGAGGAGCTGGAGTGTGAGTCACACATTGGCACACCTGCTAGTGTTTTGACACTTCAGCGTGACACCTCTACGCCTAAAGCAACTGAAGCAGAAGCAAAAGAAAAAAAACCTGACAGTCGACACTGAATATTTCCACCCACACACTCAAGACTGCAGTAGATTATCTCATGCTCTCCCAGTTCCCTTTCAGTCGGTCACTCTCGACGTCACGTTGGTGACTGACGAATTGGGATCTCGCTTAGAGAGACCAATCCACTTCGAGTGTAAACTAAACGAGCCAATGCACATCGGTAGGCCGGGGCTCGCAACAAGAAGGCCAGTCACACTGGGAAAACATACCCGTTCCACTTGGCACAGGAACATTGAGGAAGCCCCATCCTTCCCGAAGGAGGTTTCAGGAGCACTTACACATATGAACAACCGTTTAGGTGCATATGGAAGATTAGAGGTGATTGTAACTCTCTTGGACAATGCAGAAGTCTGCCGGGAAAACACGGGCTCTGAGGCTATACCGTGGACTTTACACATATGGGATCCACTTAGGTCTCTACATATGGAACC